CAGCTCTACACAAGTAACTTTATGTCAGCATTTCTCTGGGTTGGTGAAGGGGAAACAGCAGTGTGAGTTCTTTCCCACTCATGGTAGAAGTCAGAAAATCTCCCCACTCCGAAGTGAGATTATTCATCACCTTGTCCTGATGGAGGAGTAAGTGACATTGCAAAGCCTGTCGGTGTCACCAGTGCTTTGGCCCTCAAATGCCACCTGGTGGTGTCTCTTTGAAGCCCTGTCAGGTCGTTACAAAGTCCTTTGAGGATGAAAAGGGCTGAGTTGTGTCCTCTGAGTAGGAAGCTTTCTGCGGGAATGGAGATGCCTACAGCCCTGGTCTCCATTGAATGCATTTATTTGATGGGCTCGTACTAAAGAGTTTAAGGCATAAGCAAGCACTGGTACAAATAACAAAATGTAACCGAGAGGGACCATGGGGAAAAGCTGCATCAGAACCAGTTTAGCAAAACTTCCCTGAGACGTGCACAGCACGTGTGCATTGCAGGCAGGACCTAAGGCTGGTGTTACACACAGGAGTCAATGCATATTTTCCAAGGCCCTTCCAAAGACCTCACCATCAGGCACCTTTTCTATCCATGCAGTTCATTTCAGTCAGGTGAAGTTATTCAGTGATACTGTTAGAAGCTTTAGGAGCAAGAAACTGAACGCCAACCTCCCAGAGCTTTTACAGTAGCCCCATAACAAACAACAAAAAGGCAATAAAATGGAAAAAATGGCAATAAAGACATAATGAGTCAGGAAGAAGAGGAATGACTTGACTCAAAATGCAGCAGTGTCACCGTTGGCAGGGGATGTCCCAGTGCTTCGCTGCTACTGCATGTGCAGCAAGTTGCTGGTGGTCACAGAAGATCACAGATAATTTCCTGCATTCCAGAGGGGAAACAGGACTGGAGGAGTTCCCCTTCTCCCATGGCAGCTTTCTCCATCTGCAGAGAGTGAATCCAGGACCTTGTTGCCCCAGAATTGCCAGGTCACCTGCTGGAGGCACAGGCTTGCTCTCTGGTGCCTGTACCTCACCCTGACCCACGAAAATGCCAGGAAAAAGGATTCAAGGCATGTAACGAGAAAAGAGGAAGAAGGCTGCAATTAATGCACTCTTGAGGTAAAATGTGTTCTGCAAGTACGTGCTCAAAATACTTGAGTACCATCGATTTTTTGTTTGATTGTTTATTGGTGGGGAGAACTTTCTGGGTCTAATAAGCCACCACGCGTCATCAAGGTTTAAAATCAGCAGCAGGAAGTTTCCCACTGTGGTTACAGGCTTAACACCAGGAGCTGCTTCTACACAGATAGGTCATACAACCCTCAAGGTGAATTTTGCCTTTCCCAGAAAGCAAAACTTGCATCCATAGCTCACAGCTTGCTATGAATTAGTTAGGGGCATCTTGAGCAATGGCCCGATACTCAGAGCTCTAAATCTGAATTCTCAGGTTTTTCACATGCTAGGAGTTTTACACATGGGAGTTGGGGACATGCTGGCTTGAGCCAAGCTGGAGACACAGCCAAATCCCATGCTGGGACATAGCCAACCAAGTCAGGAGAGGTCAGTCTACGACACAGAGCAACAGAGCCCAAAGATGCCAAATGCCATCATGATCCATCTAAACACGCCAGCAGCCCAAAGCACCAGCCAATGTTCATTTCGTGCTCAAGCATGACTAGATTGTGCCATTAGGCACAGGGTTAATGAGAGCAAAATGGTCCCCAGAGAGCTCATGGGGGGATTCTCCTCCTGCCTTTCCCTCAGCAGTGCTACAGGTGATAAACCGTAACACAGGGCAGAAAAAGGAGGTATTATAGTTGCCCGAGAGCTTACAGAGAAACACGAACCCTCTTCCAAAGCTGTGTCACCATAGTCAGATGCTTCTTGCAGCTGCCGAGAACTTGTCGAGGGGAGGCCCAGCTCCTTCCCTGATGCATGTTTGGTTTTTCTGACAAGCTCTGTATGCCTGCCTCAGCCCAAAGCTGCCTTGCATTGTGGGTTTCTTTCCTGTCTAGCACAAAGGACAGTTGCATGGCAGCAGCCTCAAAAGAATTCAGACTATGAGGTAGCAAAGAGACATGTACAAGTGCGAACAACTGTGCTCTGTTTTCAAGTGTAAAATGATATTTGGTCTCGTTTGTAATAAGGATTTATTAAAAAAATAAATCAGTCACACCTTAATAAATAGCTGAAGTCGCAACATTTATTTTTAGTGGATTAAATGCTGTTGTCAGGTATGCTGATATAAATTCTGAAGCAATTACATATTTCTCTAGAGTTATCCCAGAACTGCATCTGAGATAAAAATCAGAATCAATCAGTAGAATTTCAACTCTAATATTACCCACATTTCCTTACTACCCATAGAAACTAGGTTCACTTCTGAAATTACAATAGCAGTACATAAGAAAATGAGACCACAGACTGAACGAAATACTAAATACTTCAGCATGCTCCAAGTAAAAATCTGTTGATGTCAGCAAGAGCAATCTAAGCAAAGGACCCACAAGAAACTGGTATTAGTATTTTTTAGGTTGGATTCATGTCGTTGTGCTATTTCACATTTTCCCATGAACAATTCAAATTCCCAGGTGCTTTAGCCTACTTGTTTACAAGGCTTTGCATTGTTATGACTATGGTTTCTTAAAAATCAACTATATCAACTGAAATGAGAGGTATCTAACCGTGAAAAACAAGCTGTTGCCACTTTGAAAAGCTAATAAACTGTTTAGAGACAATTTTAAAAACCCTGAGCCTGCAAACACTGGTACAGAGACTAATCCTACACCCTAGACACCTGGCAGACAAGATTTCTGCTGTCTGCCTGATCAGACCCACAGAATAGTAAATGAATCTGTCTCCAAAACCACCTAGCACTCTCAGCAGAAGGATTAAAAAAGTTTTTCTAAACCTTACCACAGGTAATGCTAGATTAGTTTTAGGTACATTTTCTTGGACTGTTTCAATGAAGGAAGCAAACTATTGAAACAAAACATGGCTTTCTCTTCACACAACCTTGCGCAGTTGTTTTAGACCTTAGGGCAGGCACAAATTAAAATTTGTCACTAACTTAAATTTATTTAACCACTACCATTTATTTACTACTCATATAAACTAATTCATGGTAAATTCCCAGGTGAATCCTCTAAGCACTTCAGCCAAGCTTTAGCCTCAGTTCCACATCTCTGAGTCTGTAGAGATGCTACAAAATCCATGAAAACATCCTGGGTTTGGCCTACTACAACCAGAGCAAAATTTGTTTGCTAGTACCACATTCAGCTCTACTGCAAAAGCAGTAGAAACAGAAAAATACACTAGAAGCAGAACTTCCTATTTAAATAGTCTTACTGTAAACAGAAATACAGACACATACAAATAAACATGCATATATATGCACATATATATGTATACACTCATAGGCACATACACCCATACACTCCTCTGTTGTTCTTCAGCGAAAAAGCAGTATCCTTTCCTTACAAACAGAAGCGCTTCACAAATTAGAGTTAATCCTCAACTCATGAACTGCACTGATTTCAGGAAAATAAGATAATTTCCAGCTGCTGCACCTAAGCATTAAAATATTTAAGTGTCAAATTTTGCCCTTAGATGCATCCTATTGAAATCAAAAGAAGTTCTCACTGGGTAAAGTGAAGCGCACATGGATCTACCTATGAAACATGGTGTACTGTTTCTACATACTTCTTCAAGGCAGAATCACAAAACTACAGGGACAGATATAAGTTATGTTAGACCAACTGATGCAGCCACAGACACCACTCATAAATTCGAGCCCCAAAGCCCTGGACCAGGGTGCTCCGAGTGATTTCTGTTCTCTTACTTGCACTGCTGGGTTGGCACATACCAAGTGTGAACCCAGGTAATCCCGAAGACACTAAACTTCTAAAAAAAAGCAGACAGGAAAAGAAAACCCTAAAGACACAAGAAAATATGCTTGTCAGAGACATTAATCTCATCCCATTTGCAGTTCAGTAGAATTAACGATCTCCCCTTAAAGACTTTTAAAGCATAAAAATAAATACAAAACTTACTGACATAAATGAAACACACAAACACTTCAGTGTTAGAATTCTGAGTCTTTAAGTATTTCTAAACCTCATTTTTCTCACTGCAGAATGTCTTACACTTTCAGTGCCCAAAGGAAAAAAAAAAAAAAAAGAAAAATAGAAGAGACATTACCTTGGTTTTTTTTCCTCCATCTCCTATACTTTTCTGTTGTCTGGTGTCAAGCTGGGCTTCAGCAACTCATCTAGCACCTGCAAGGCACACCACTCTTCTTCCCTTGGCTGCCATAAGGATTTTGCTTGTGTTTATGATTAACCCACCAAGATATCTGCCACAGAAGGGCGAGGCTGTTTAAACAATTATATTCATGACTCTTATTCTAGATGAGGTTTCCTGAAGAACTGAAGTGTGCAAGTATAGTTAGCTGCTTAGTAAAGCCTTGCAAAACTCTGTGGGTTTGGCTCATAGTGCTCCTTTACAGAGACATTTTTTCCTCCTCCTGCCACAAGTGGTTCTCCCCACTGCTGCAGTCAGGTGGAACCAGCTTGTGACTCAGCCAGAATTTTGGCTCATGAAACAGCTCGAGAAACACAATAGCCTGATGTTCTGGGGTGCGATGATACCAAAATGGGGTATGCATTTCCTTTCACAGGGCTTCATGCAGTTCAGGTATTTGCTGCACTAATACCATTTCTGATCCTTCTCCAGAGGCACAGATCCTCTCTCCAGACTTGCCAGTCCAGACTACTCTCCCCTATGTACAAATATCCCAATGAAATCAATAGGAGTTTGGCCAAGATAATAGAGACTAGTGGAGTGGGTAGGCACAAGAAAAAGCTCAGGAGTTTAGTTCCTTCGAGGGTTCAGAGATATTGCTCCCTCTATGACCTGGATATATGAAAAAAAAAATTCACAATGAGGACAATCCAGCATTAGAACAAGCTGCTTAGTGAGGTTGTACAGTCTCTGATCTTGCAGGTTTTCAAAACCTGGTTGGACCAACTGGAACAACACGTGCCTCATGCTGGTGTAACCAGTCTGCCATGTCCCAAGTGTGTTTGTTCTCCCAAAGGAGCTGCTGCTGCTGCTCTCTCAGCTGAACTTTGGTTTCTTTAAGGATTTTTGAGTATTGCATAAGTCTGAGCAATTCCTGGCGCAGATACCAATTCTCTGCTTCTACTTGTTTGATGTGCTGAATTAGAGATTGTATTGCTGCTTCTTCTGCTCTTGTGGTGAGAACCTGGATCTTCTGATGAAAGTCCATCTCGCAGTCAGCCTTGGCCTGCAGAAATCTGCTCTTGATTTTGTGCATTTCATCTGAATGCTGTGTCTTTGTGACCAACAATTCCTTCTCCAGCTCTTCAGTCTTTTTCATCTGTTCCAGCTGAACAGATGGATCTTTGAAAGGCTGCAGGTCTTCAACTTCCTTGTTCATAAGAAAGTACTTTGTCTCCATACTCATCAGAGAGCTCCTTACCTCCTTCTCTTTTTCTGTATACTGTGAGACTAGCTTCTCTTTCTGCATCTGGACTTGAGACAGATCACTGTGATTCTGGTCATTTAGAGTTATTATCAGATTCTGGCACTTCTGTCTGTGTTTTGTTATGTGAGAGAGGTAAGCGTTGCTTTCTTCCTGGTTCTGTTGGGCTTCCTTTTCTAGGTATTTGTTTTCCTGTAGGAAGTGCTCCATTCGTCCCATGTATGTGTTCATATGTTCAGTGAGAATCTTATATTCCTTCTGCAAGTATGATTTCCTCTCTTTGACAAGTATTTCCATGTCACTTATTCCTTTGGATGTATTTCCATTCTTGCTTCTTATTCTTTGCTTATTTTTCCCAGCACGCATGGTGTCTTCTTTCATCTGCTTTGTCTGGGATGCCATATTCCACACTGGGGCTATCAAACTTGGGCAAACTGTAACAGAATGAAAAATTACAAATTCTAAGTGAGCATTTATGCCACATGTATGACAGTTGCTTTTTTCCTGAGTCATGCCCTCTTATGTTCTCATGTTTTTAACTGATTAATCCAGCAGCTAAAAAGTTTGACCTAAAATTTTTCATGTCTGGCCTATGTCTTGAGTTGAAGCACGCGTGCGCATATGTGTACTTGCATTTTTACATTCCTAGTTAACTGAGAAGAAGTAGTTGTGCTAATCTAAAAATGCATATCTTTTTAGGATTTCTTTTTAGTTGTTTCATGTTGTGTTGTTTCTGTAGTTTGGAGTATAAATTCCACTGGCAAATTATTACGGCTGTACATTGTGTACTGTCTTTCTGTAAGCAGTAGATCTTGTCCGTAAAACTTCAGCAGCAATTAAGTACTGAGGTGCTGACAGAGGCATGCCTGAAACATAGAAATTCATAGAGTAAATTCTGAAATATAACTGCTAAGTCATCATGCTGGACTCGAAGCTGCCTATAGAAAATGTTACGGACAGTAGTACAGATTAAGCCCTGTCGCTCCATCAGAGTTAGATTCCTGTATCTGTATTTGAAGAGACAGCTGCATCCTTTTCCTGGGTTTAGAATGTTAAGTCAGTATTGTCTTATGAAATGAAAGCAGAAAAGGAAATGTTGCAACCAGTTTTAACCTAGGACTTCAATGATCAATCAAGGTATTTACTCACTTCGGAGAGTGACCACGTTGTTAACCTTCCACTGCCTGATGTAACATAAACAGGTATCTTCTTGGACACTATCTTAATTATAATGTCATTTGAGACATGACACCGATAACTAAATATTTATGAATACAGAGAGAATGAAAGAATGACCATAAAGGGCATAGTGGCTAAAGAAACATCCTACCAGATCCAGCCATGGAATGTGTGCCATGGATTTTGATGGAATGTTGAATGTGCCATGCAGATGTGATCTTCCCAGTTGCCTAGGACTGCATTCTTCCCTCAGAGATGGTGGGTGGGAGATAGGTACATAAATGGGCTGAACATCATTTCTGTATCATGCTGGATTATTAATTCGGAGATCATTCATCTGGGTTGCTTTATCTGTGTTCTATTTTGGTTTTGTTATAGGTGAGTAACCTGAAATTCGCTTTAGTGTTTTGGCCAAGTTAAGGCAAAATATTTTACTTTATTATGAGAAAGATGTTATGGCTCTGTTAGAGCTCTATCATTGGTATCCAAGCTGATGCCTTGGTTTTCTGTGCTGTTAGAGGAGTTGTTCTGTCTGGGTCCTCTTGCTGAGAAGATAACAGTCCTTTAATAAAGACAGTTTAATTAAGGCAGAATAAGAGGCTTCTCTTTCTGTCTGTGTCATTTCCTATTTATACTGGTCAAATGATTGCCAAGCATAACATTATCATAGATAATCTACTTGTGTTTCTGGAGTAGACTATGTATTTATTGCCTGTGGTAGGCATGTGAAAAAGCACTGCATAGCAGGTCAAATACAACGATGTGGTTTTATTTTTAAACTCTCAAGGTTTCAGGGACTTTTTGGGTGGGCAAATCATATCCATATTGGGGGGCAGCAGGAGTGGTTTGTAGTGGAAGCGCTATGCCACCTTCTTTTGTCCTTGACTGGAAATTCCTTTCTAGTATTCCTTTCCTGCTTCAGCTCGTCCGCATTGTGTACACCTAGACACCACTTCGCACTATGAGTGTAAGAACTCTGGCCTGACACATTCCACTCAGTCTCTGTTACTAATTCACCACGGATAGGACAGATTGACAGCATCACCAAATAGCTGAGGCTGGAAGGGACCTCAGGAGATTGTCTAGTCTAGCCCCTTGCTCAGAGCAGGGTTAACCAGAGCACATTGCTTAAGACTCTGTGCAGTCAGGTTTTGAGTATCTCCAAGGATGGAGACTCCACAACCCCCCTGGGCACCCTGTTCCTTCTGAGTGTTTGACCACCCTCACAGTAAAAAAGTTTTCTCTTGTGTCGTGTTCGTCCTGTCAGGTCCAATAGAATTGGGTATGTCTGTTTTGTTGAAATGTTTCCTAACCTGATCCTCCTCTATTGAGGGCAAGTCTTCCTTGCTGCAGGCTTTCTCCCTGGCCTCAGGTATTTGGGATTCTAGAAGGTCAATCTTACCAGCAAAGACCAACGCAAAGCAAATACTGAGTAGCTCAGCCTTTTTGGCATCCTTTGTCACTAGGTCCCCTGCCCCTTTCAGCTAAGAGGCCATGTTTCCCTAGTTGTCTTCTTGCTGCTTGTATACCTGTAGAAGCCCTTCTTGTTGCCATTCACATCCCTTGCCATATTCAATTCCAGATGGGCTTTGGCTTTCTTAACACCATTCCTGCACACTCAGACAGTGTCGTTGTATTCCTCCTGGGTTGCATGATCCTTCTTCCACCTCTTGTATGCTTCATTTTTACATTTGAATTTTGTAAGGAGCATCCCGGTCTTTGGTGTAGGCCTTTTGCCACCGTT